GACGGCGGCGCCGGCGACGAGGTCCGACGTGGACATGTTTGGTGTCGGGGGGGGGCTGTAGCGTGTCGGCGGCGGCGCGCGCGGGGCAGAGTTGCCGACGTGGCTGCGCGATCGATACGGCTGTCTCGTCTTCCTCCGCTCGCGGGCGACGTACGCGCAGGCCGGGGTTTTGGCCGTGGCAGAAGAACACGCGCCGAAGCCGCCGCCGACGTCATCGCTGCTCGTGGACGCCGATCGATCGGCGGCCCGTCGCACTCCGTTTGCTCGCACGGGGGCTCGCCGGTGTGCGGCGACGAGGGCGGCGAGGACGCCAGCACGATATGACTGAGTCGGAAGTTCGGTGGCGAGTCGCCGCGGCCGCCTACACAGGGGCCTGAGCGACGTCTGCGCCCATGCTGGGTAGCCGCTGTACCAGCTCCTGTCTATTGCCATTAGCCAGTGTACGAGTGCGTGCCAGTCGCCAGGCACCGGAGTAAACCACGAATACTCATCTTTTACTGAGCGCGGGGCCTCGTCGACCATCCGGTGACCTGCTGCCCGTCGACGCCGACGGCTGCTGCCGGCTCATCGGCGCGATCGCGGGCGAGGGCGCGGACAACCGGTCCAAGTACTACACGCAGCGCCCTCATGCTTCGAACCGCGACTCCGCGCGCGAGCGCGCGCGCGTCTGATGCCTACTATGGTCGGATCATCGCGCGGAACTGCGGGATTGCACGTAGGTCCTGGCGAAGATCCGTCTTCGCGTAAGAACCCCCCGACCGAAGTCGCAAAATCACCTTATCCCCCCCTCCGCGGCGTCGTCCTCGGCGGGCCGCCGCCAGAGGAGCGCGCGCCAGTCCAGCACCCCCCCCTCGTGGGGCGGCACGGCGTCCACAGCTCTCTCGCCGCAGCAGGGCCACCAGAGCGCCCAGTGCGCGCGGACCGCGTCGTAGAAGAGCGCCGCGTCGTAAAAGTGCACGGGCTCGTGGCACGTCGGGCAGAGCTTCGACGGGTGGCGCCGCGCGAGGGCCGCCCGCTCCGCCGCCAACAAAACCTTCACGCGCGCGAGGCACCCGGCCGCGGTCCCGGGGCCCAGGACCTTCATGGGCCGCATGATCTTCCGCGCGACGGACGAGTGGCCGACGTCTTCGAAAAACGTCGTCGCGTCCGTGCCCGCGAAGTCCAAAACGGTGTCCAACGACCCCGGGTGCTGCGGCGCGAAGGCCGTGATGTCGTAGACCGCGCCGTGGATGCCCACGAGCACGCGCGACCCCTCGACGTTCGCGCCCACCACAGCCCGCTCGACCCACGTGCACGCGAACGCGGAGTAGAAGGCCTTGTAGCCCACCGGTGGCACCCAGCCGGGGCCGCGGGGCGTGTACGCCAGCGAAAGCCGCTGGGTCTGTTTGAGCGTCGGCCCCCAGTCGCGGTCGAAGAGCCGCCGCCACGTGCTCGGGCCGTCCGCGGCCGCGCGCCGCGCGCCGTCGCAGCAGGCCAGGGTCGCGACGTCCCGCGCGTCCAGCGCGTCG